AACACGAATAACGAAATCATGTGCTGATATGACTGTAATATGGCATGAATTATATAATGGACGACATTCAGAGTTTTGAATGCAGTGCATTGCGACACTTCCGAAGAAAACTCGGTATAGCAGGATGGCCACAGATATCCACATTGGATGTGACACACTGATGCGGCATTCCAACAAACTCTAGACGATTGAGATTTTTGCTGGAACTTAGTGACTCACTCGTAGTTGTGTCAATTGAGAGGACAGGTTGATTGTGCAAATCTGGTTCCTCGGGGTAAAGATCATCTCCTAAAATGAAATGGTTTCATCTCTACATTACACACATTTATTACACACAAATGTATGTTATGGTAACTCAAAAGTACCATTATGCAAGCTGCGATGGGCCATACACACATACACACATTTATTACACACAAATGTATGTTATGGTAACTCAAAAGTACCATTATGCAAGCTGCGATGGGCACGTTTGCTTAATAAATCCCGTTTCTTAGTTTGTAGGTGTTGCAGCCAAGTTAGTTGGGCTTGAGTATAGTAGTAAGCAATAGTAGTGTAGTTTAGTTTTAGTCTGAGTATATTAGTGGCTAAAAGTACTGCTCTTACCCTTTAACACAGATATCACGCAATCGTTCAATTCAATCATGACAGGATATGAGCAGGTACAGCCCTTTTTCTGCCTCTCAATTGCAAATGACTTCAGTTCGCTAAGGTCTGGAAAGTTGGCGAGACGAGATATCTCGTAGAACTGTGGTGGTGCAAGCCATACATTCGACATCCAGTGCTCGCTCAACCCTTTCACCGGTGCATACCACTACAGATGAAACATCAATCATCATTATATTACAGCGAGGGTTCGTTCAAGATACGTGCTGAAATCATTAGCTATCAAACACATAGGTGGATTAACAATTGTTGTTGTGTCAACTTAATGTAATATCTTGATGTAAATTATTTATAAACAATCTCAAATCGACTGCTGCAGAATTGTACAAATACATCTCACTAGAAGAGGAACACATAAAGAATAATCTTCATAATGTATTTCTAATAGCATATATATTTATATAAGGATTAGGGCAAGTGATGTGTGTCATTAATAACGCATACATGTGGATATCAGAACACTAGATGGAAACAATGATTCGTAAAATACATTAAAGCCGCACAATGCGCATCCAAACGCTAATTTCTCCAGTACTAGACTAGCAAATACTTTGTGTCATCATAATCACACTACCTTAATGACAAAATAAACTCTAGTTGCTCCCATTTCACTGCGGCGTTTGCTTAAAACCCACAAGAAAGAGGTGAGAAAACTGGCATTCTGGCGCAAACGCCGACTGTTTCCAAAACAATATAGCCTCGAAGTGGTGACGTGACGTCACATGTTTTTATCTTTGCTACACCCGTACCGCTGTACCGCAGCACCACTGCACCGTTGCTGGGGATTGGGAAACTGTCAACAACATCGAAGAATTTCAATAACATTGGAGGTATTTTCAAATACCTTTTATAAGCAACGCGCAGTGAAATGGGAGGAACTAGAGTTTATTTTGTCATAAGGTAGTGTGATTATGCATTCCACGAAGTATTTGCTAGTCTAGTACTGGAGAAATTAGCGTTTGGATGCGCATTGTGAGCCTTTAACACCCAATTTGGAATCACTACCTTCGATGACACGGTTTCTTTGTCATCGTGGAATGCATCAATGATGCTTTCCATACAGGCAATGTAGAACATGGTATTATATCGACGTCTGTTGCCTCGCTTGACCTTATCTGTAGACGGCGTTAACCAGTTGGCCCATTCATACAGTTCCCAGATGTTAGGTACAATCTTGAAAGCCCGGCACATGCGTACAAACTGCGCTGCATCCTCCGTCACACGCATCCGCCATTTGATGATATCGTCCTCCTTCATAAGAACTGGGGCGCCATTGCTGCTTTGACCTCGGGAGATGAGAATTCCCGTCTCCTCGAATGTCTCCCGCACGGCACAGATCCTGAATGCGACGTCCGGCGGGATGCCGGTCTTGCTTTCATACAGCGTGGATGGCGGTCGTGGACCGTTAATACCCGCCGTCAAAGATGAAAACAGGTTGGTATCGAGCACATCCAACCATTCGTCCGAGTAGTCAGCGCGATCGATTACGCCGCCCGGAAACACATGAGCATTTGGCATGAAGCTGCTTTTACTACTCCGTTTGAGCATCAGAACTTTATAGTTAGATCCCATGTATTCTTGGCCGCCGACGCTCTTCATAACCGACGGCGGAAGAGCTAATCGATTCATCGTTCCATCATCAAGCAGTTTCAGCTGTTTGTGGTTATGGCCAGCTCCGGCAAATCTCTTTCCAGCAGCCAAAATCAATGTTGCCGAGTTCTTCCACTGCTTCATTTTTGCTAGGCGTAAGTAATAATGGTTTTAATGTTGTTATACCGAAGCTCAGTATTTCAAAATTTCCAACTAACGGGCATTACCTGTTTACTGCCTAAAATTAATCTTTCTTATAGAGGCAGACATATTGTTATTGCCTCTCAGCAGATACGCTATATATTCTATTAACTTTTTAAAAATCATACAAATTATAATTACTATAATTTATATAATATTTAATCTACACATATATAGTTTTTATTTTTACAAAACAGTGCTCTGATAGCAACATGTTAATCGTAGAAAAGAAAATGTTAGGTAAAATCATAAAATAGACATCGGCA